CTCGAGGAGATTGAGGTAAGAGCGCTAAGGGCCTCCTCTAGTGCCGCAACTGCCAATCCCAGCACACCGGCTTCCTCGAGCCATCAGTCTCCATTTCGAGGGCCAACTGCCAATCGCTCAACGAGCAGTTATGAACCTGCACATGCGTGCTACAGTCCAGAGGATGATTTGCAAGATGACTCCTACACGCCTTTTATAGGATGGGATCCCAACGAAGGTGATGGAGCAATTGAGGCCCCGAGGAACCTTGAAGAAGCAGATCTAAAGGAATTTCTACAAGAAAGGGAGGTTAGTAATCGTCAAGCTCAGCTGGAGTTTATGGGAGTCGAATCACCTGCTGACCTTTACTACTTGTATGTTGAAGATCTGGTAGAAATGGGAATTTCCCTGGAGGATTCATTTAGGATCATGAGAGGTGTCCACCCAGAGGGCACGGTGCGCCCAGACAACCCGAACATGATCTCATTGACCACAGGTGAGGTTTGTCTGTTTGGGAGAGACCACCGCCAGCTCCCGAGGGTGATACAAAATCGGACCCTAACGTACCAAGCTCCAGGTCCCCCTGTACAAGGGTTAGGGATTAATTTAAGCGCAGTGAATCAAAGACCTGATCCCTACTTGGAGGATTGGCAGGAACTGAATGGCTATCAACCACAGGTTATGCCGATGCCTGCTCAACAGCATCCTGCCGTTGATCTTTCGAAGCCTGCAGGAAGTTCCATCGAGATCCCGTTGATCTCTACCGTGCAGATGGACCCAGGTCACCAGCAGGGTGATGATGTTGAACACCTTTCTGAGCAGGTTTACCAAGTAGGAGTGCAATCCCTAAGTGAACAAGCAGGGGATGCGGATATCCATTCAATGCACGCAATGAGGATGCAAGCTATTTGGGATGCCGAAACCGAGGAGGAGTTCAACTCTTTGGTGTATCCTCCACCAACACCAACTGTCCATGATGAAGCTCCAATGCTTGGAGAAGCCTCCACTCCAAGGCAGAGCACTGCCCAAAGTGCGGGACAGCCGTGTTGTAGAATGGTTATTGCCAATGAGGAGAGGTCATCCCCCAGCAATCGCAGGATGCCAGCGAGGTCTCCGAGACGCTCCGCCCCGGATCGCGAGGAAATAGATCATACTGCAGCGGTCCCGCAGATAGGTCTTCCCTTCCCCGCTATAGTGTCGTTGGACACCTCTAAGGTTATCCCGCAGGTAGTGGAAACGTCAAATCCTCGAGTGGAAAAGGTAGAGGAGACTTCGTATACTCCTCATATTGAAGAACTACTAAGCAATCTCACCGGTCCGCTCGAGGTGGTGCATCAAGTCGCACCTGCCGATGTGAAAGCTTTCCCAGATAGGTGGAAGGCTGCAGCCGAGGAAGAAGTTAACTCTATGGTAGGGATGAACGCTATCGTAAGACACAGCGGCAGAGCTGCCCAAGACCTCCTTAAGCGCCCCCACGTGGAGGTCCTCCCGGCGAAGGGAGTCTTTACTGTGAAACCAGGAAGGCCGTTTAGGCGCAAAGTGCGTATTGTGTCATGTGGAAACTACGCGAAGGGTGTTTCTGAAGACATCCTCTACGCAACGGGAGCAGCTGCGGAAACCCTTAGGGTAATACTTGTGTATGCTGGAAAGCGTCGTCGCAGATGTTGGTCCACTGACATAAAGTGCGCGTTCCTTCTCGCCCCAATTCCAGACTCTGTGATGAAGGTTTATGTATTAAAACCACCAGCAATACTTGTGGCACTCGGCATATGCGACCCGTCTGAATACTGGCAGGTGTGCCGGGCCGTCTACGGCTTCAAAGAGTCGCCAAAGTGGTGGTCTCAATACAGAGATGGAGTCCTTGCGGCTGCAGTGATTCAGACTCCCCAAGGAGATGCAACTCTTAAGAGAACAACGTGTGATGAAAACCTGTGGGAAGTCCTCCTGCGAGATGGCACCTGCCTGGGTCACATGTTGGTGTATGTGGATGATCTTTTGTTCTTGTGTGATGCTCACGTAGCAGAGTCAATTCACTCTTGGATTCGGAGTCAATGGAGTTGCTCAGACTTGGAACGTCCTACCTCAAGCAAGGCATTGAGGTTCTTGGGAGTAGATATCTATGAGGCCCACAATGAGTGCGGGTTCTGCGGGTATTCTCTGTCCCAAGAATCTTACATTGATGAGTTAGCTCGCAGCCATAATCTGAAGCCTGCGCAGCGTGCCAACACCCCTATCCCTAAGGAGTGGGTTAAGAATGCACCCGATCCTGAGTCCGGGTTTTCAGAAGTTGTCCTACGAGAAGCACAAAGAATCACTGGAGAACTTCTGTGGGTTTCCCAGCGCACGAGAGTAGACATATGTTATGCAGTGGGGTTAATGTCAAGCTGGACTGTGAAGTCCCCGGGCTTTGTGGTCAAACTAGGCCAAAGAGTGCTGGCATACCTGGCAGCAACCAAAGTCTATCGCCTGTCACTGACGCCAGATGACACTGACACCCTGTCAATATACACCGATGCCTCGTTTGCTCCGTTCAGCGAGCGATCAATATCAGGGATAGCAGTTCTTGTTAATGGCCGGTGTGTTTACTGGAAGTCAAAGAGGCAGACTCTCGTCAGCTTGAGCACTGCAGAGTGTGAATTGATTGCTGCTTGTGAAGGAGTGGTCCTCGGACAATCGATCGAGGCACTCATCCATGAACTATGGAGATCAAAGGTGGCTAAGGTCCTCAAGGTTGATAACGTTGCAGCAATTACCCTTGCTGAAGGGGGAGGGTCGCAACGGACCAGGCATTTCTTCACCCCTCTTGGCCACTTTTTTGCTTTCTAGCTTTTTTGCGGTTTTGGTGGGTATTTATAATACCACAGTGGGCTTGCGTTTGTATAGGATGCTGCAACTAAATGCTTACCCCATCAATTAAGCCCTAAAACCTAATCCCTAAACCCTAAACCCTAAACCGTGGAACCCTAACGAAGCTGCTGCCGTCCTGGGCCGCGGGTGCTGCTCATTCAGCCGGGGGGCTCGGCTCGCCAGGGCCGAATTTTGGATAAGAGGGTTAGCCCTAAACCCTAAAGCCCTAAACCCTATAAACCCCAAACCCTAGAAAATTCAATCCTAAACCTCAACCTGATACTATTTAAATTAATAGACTGCGCCGAAAGGCGATAATACAATGCGCCGAAAGGCGATAATTGATGCGCCGAAAGGCGATAGTGCGCCGAAAGGCGATAGTGCGCCGAAAGGCGATAGTTTAATTTTAGTGTAGGCTGTAGGATTTAGGCGCTAGGCTTTAAGTTGTACGCTTTAGGCTTTAAATTTTAGACTCTAGGGTTTAGCCGTTTAGCCTTTAGGGTTTAGGATTTACCCTTTGTAGATTAAAAATGTATATATATATATATATACATATATATAAAGAAGGATTAGGCAATAAATTCCGAAAGAGCGCCGACTGGCGATAGTCACGAAAGGCGATGTGTGTGTGTGTATATATATATATATGTGTGTGTATATTTATAATATATATATATATATATATCTCTATCTATCTATCTATATATATATATATATTATCGTATGGACTAGGAAGTTTAGGGTGTCGGGTCTACAACAGGCGGTGAACCTGAAGTTCTCGTGGGAATCTAAACCCGATTTTAGTGTTTAGCTTTTAGAATTTAGGGTTTATGTTCTAAGTTTTAGATTTTGGGGTGTAGGATTAGGGATTAGATTTCCAGGTTTAGGTTTTATATGCATTAGGCTTTAGATTGTAGGGTCTAGGCTTTAGGGTTTAGGCTGTAGGGCAAGTCCGAACCCATTCCCAAACTTTGAGAAACATCCTATCTCTCTTGACTTGGCTTGTTTTGTTTGGGTTTGGGTGCGGTGTTTGACGGGATTGATCCAGTGGGCCTGGGGGGTAGCATTCCAAGTCACAAGTCCAATTCGAGTCGAACTTCATATGGGGTCAATTGGGTGTGCCGGCTTTTGTGTTGGTCGGCCGGCTTGTATTTGGGTGCCTTGGGTTTGGGATCCTAGTTGTTTTGGGAACCATGCAAGTGTTAGGCACCCGCCCCTAATCCCTGTCCCTTCCTCGCACCCTAGGCCCTGAAAAACCCAAACCCTAAATCCTATCCCTTCCAACCCCAAACCTTATCGTTTCCTCCCCTTCGGCACTGCACTTGGATTTGCAATAGTTCTGAGGTCCGGCGGCTTCTTCTGCATCTTCCATCGCGATCAATGTTCTGCAGGCCGGCCATAGCACGCTTGGATTCAGTGCACAGTCGGCTTTGGATTCTGTTTGCCGCACTATGTCAAGTCGAGTTGCCCACCGGTGCCCATCCCGACTAGTCTGTCTTGGCAGGAAGTGTCTGGAGAAGCTGCAGGAGCTGGGAGGCAACTGTGCGGACTCAGTTCGGGGTTTAGGCGGATGGGTTAAAAGGGTATTTATAATTAGGAATCAGGGTTTGTTGCAAGGCGCTAGTGGGTGGGTTTTAATGCGTAGGGTTCGCCGCAAGGTGCTAATGGGCTCGGGCTCTAGCAGGTCGTTCGCCGCAAGGCGCTAGGTGTTTCCTAAGTCGCCGCAAGGCGCTAGGGAGGGGTCAAATCGCCGCAAGGCGCTAAATAGATGAGGTCGGTGGTATATTTAGGTTGTGGGTTCGCCGACTGAGGTTCTCTTGATCGATATTCCCCTATGTCGCCTCCAAACCTTAATGCCTTTGAAATCCTGAACCCCGCTATACTCTGGATTGCCTGAAGTCCCAAATGGGGTGTTCTGTAATAGACGAGCTCTCTTTTAAAACGCATGAGAAACCCTACACCCCTAGCAGGTTCCATAGGTGCGGGGTTCTGAGTTTTATATACTGAGACACATCCCACTCGATTAGCTAGTCGAAATGCATGTAGCCGTGATTTACCCCTCTACTTCGATCATTACTAGGCACCTCCATTTTGTTGGTCAAGCTTTGTGACTTTGGGCCTTTGGGTTTATACTTCTTCCTGGCCTGTCCCTCTCCATTTGCCTTCGACTTGAGGCGCGGTCGATCTTCGTGGATGATCCTCTGGTGCTGACGTCGAAGATGACAACAGGACTCCTGCTGGGCTGCCTGCTTCGATCCGTGCATTGTACATGTCTTGCGATTATCTGCAATCTGCGGCAACCTGTGGCTCCGTGTGCTCGTGTGTGTGTGTGTGTGTGTGTGTGTGTGTGTGTGTGTGTGTGTGTGTGTGTGTGTGTGTGTGTGTGTGTGTGTGTGTGTGTGTGTGTGTGTGTGTGTGTGTGTGTGTGTGTGTGTGTGTGTGTGTGTGTGTGTGTGTGTGTGTGTGTGTGTGTGTGTGTGTGTGTGTGTGTGTGTGTGTGTTCGTGTGTGTGTGTGTGTGTGTGTGTGTCTGTGTGCAGAGGGCGGAACATTGTGCTGAATCAGTTCATTAGCTGATCGCAGCATGGAACTCCACCCAGGGCCCTAATACCCTAAACTCAACCCCCTGAACTTTAAACCCTTAATCCGACTAAGGGGTTCGGGATTCAGCCACCCAGGGCCCTAATACCCTAAACTCAACCCCCTGAACTTTAAACCCTTAATCCGATTCAGGGGTTCGGGATTCAGCCACCCGGGGCCCTAATACCCTAAACTCAACACCCTGAACTTTAAACCCTTAATCCGATTCAGGGGTTCGGGATTCAGTGTGAGGTCGGGCCAATGCTAAACAAATTGTCCGTCTTCACCTGATTGTAAGTTCAGGTTTTCAAAGCATGGGTGCCACAAAAATACAATCAGGTAAACCTGAACTTCGCTGAATGCATATATAAACTGATCTAGCTGCCTGATTCCCGCTTTGCCTGGGCCATGCCGCCTTCTCATTCAAAGCCTCACGGCGTTGCTCCGAGGGACTTTTACGGGCAGCGTGGTCAGGGCCGCGTGCAGCGGCGTCAGCAGGGCCAGTACGGGCCGATTCGGCCGCCGGTGGTCGTAGCCAAGTTGCAATTGGCAGCCTTGACCATTTCTTAGTAGAGGCAAGGTTAAAAAATCATGACAACACATCCTGTTCCATTGCCCAATACTCCTGCAGATCCCTCCTCGACGTCCGGCGGGTGCGGCTGACTCTCGAGATTCGCAGCCTGCTGCTGATGCATCTGCCGCTCCGACTGCTCCATTGTCATCTGGTGGTGCATCTGATTCTTCTGCTCCATCTGCTGTTCCAGCTGGCACTTCTGCTGCGGGCGACGGCGCTCCATCTGCTGTTGCATCTGGCACTTCTGCTGCGGGCAACCGCGCTCCATCTGCTGTCTCATCTCCCACTTCTCCTGCGGCCGACGGCGCTGTGCCTCGACAAGAATGGCTAGCAGACTGTTTCTGTAAACCATGGCAATTTGCGGATTTTGGTTCCGGGGACTAGGATACTCTTGGGGTTCGGGCTCTCTTTTCATGGTCAACCCAGGAGATGGCAGCGGCAGTGACCGCAGATGCTGGCCGAGTAGCGGCTGAGACAGCAGAGCCTTTGCTCCAGAACCGGATGTTCTTTTAAGCTATAACCTTTATATCCTTACTGGTTGGGGTTGGGATAAGACTGTAATCGCAAGCCCTTTCAACCCTACCCCCAAGTAACCCGATTTCGACACCGAGTGTACCGACTTTTGGTGTCTGGGTTTCACTCATGCAAGGACCCGGGTCCAGCTGCGGAGGCGCCGGCGGCGGTGGAGCGGCCTTCTGCACCTTCTGCTGAACCTGCGCCGCCGTTTGATGGTGCTGCTGAGGGCTGGCCCTTCGAGAAGCTGGCGGACATCCGGGCCAGTGACTCTGGGCTTACAGGTTCATTCTGCTTTCCCACCGACCCTGATTCAACAGACGCCCCCCTGCCCACCATACCGTTCTGCAACAAAGCAGGGTAGTATAATTATATATCAACTAAATCTTTACTGTGCATCGACCCGGATCCCAATCAAACCTCCCAGGAGCAGCTGCCGTTTGGGTGGACAAAAGTCAAGCTGGAGGATGATCGGATGTATTACTTCAACTCCAAGGCCAAAGTCTGCTGCTGGCACATGCCTCACGTGCTGGATGATTCTGGGATTCCAGTATCATCCATTTTGGTTGTCGCAGTGCAAAGGGGTTGAAGTTTGTTTGAGAGTTGGGTCTTCGGGGCTTCGGATCTTACTTAGGTGCCCGATGCGGAGCCGCTGCCAGAAGGGTTTGAACCCTGGGAGCTGTGGGATGTTTGGGGAAGCAACAGATCGCAGCGTGTGTGGTTCAATCCTTCTTCTGGCTCTGTGGCGAACTTCGAGGTGTTCGAGACTGGGCTAGAGTGATATGAAAGCTGTTGACGAGCTTTTTAAAGTAAGGTAGGGCATCGATTTCGGAGGGGACTCGGTTTGTTGGTCATGAGCCTTTTTCTCCATCCGAGAAGCAGTACTATGAGACCAAGAAGGCCGAGTTGGAGAGGGCCCGTGAGGAGCGGCGACGGCTCGAGCAGGCGGAACGTGATGAAGCGGCCGCTGAAGCGCTTTCTAAGAAGCGGAGGAAGAGGTAAGAGCTAGTGAACATAAGTTTGACTCAGACTGAAGATGAAGTCCTCGTCGTATCTATCGAAAGGGCATCAACACACTAGCGGCACTAGCGTGCCATAATAGGCTTCTGGATTTCCTCTTCCGGTGGTAGGCTGTAGCCGCTGGCAATGCACGGAAGAAGCACCCCGCGGCCCACCACAATACTGCAAAATATCGCTCCCTTAGATGGATAGATAGATAGATAGAAACACTAGCCTGGGCTTAAATGCTTCGTCCGGCCAAGCTCCTTTTGCTGCCGTCTGCTCTTGCGTGAAAACGCTTCAGTTGCAGCGCTTCAGTTGGAGCCGATTGGAAGTCTGTTGGCAGTTGTGGCTTTGGGGTAGGTCAGCCGTGCTGAGGGCAGACTGTCTTGGGCGGAGGGGTTTGCTGAGTGCACCCATTGAACATCTCGATTTGCAGGACAAGCCCTGCAATCTTCATGGAAGCTCCCGGCTCAGTGAGTGTCATGTCCACGATCAGTGTTGCAGCCGTGCTGGCTTTGGCAAGACTGCAACCACACTCCATGTCACGCGGTGCCTTCGTCTGGGTATTCTGCTGAAGATTCTAACCCCTTATCTTGCACAACCTCGTACCCGCAAGGCATGCAAGAGTTGCCACGAACATGCCCAGGTCTGGCCTCGTCGGTTGCTCCGGAGTCGGGGCCCCGACTAAAGCATGTTGCAGCGGATGGAGAGATAACGTATTTTTCCAGTCAAGTGTCAATTAGAGCCAGAAGTTCCAAGCAGTGTCAGTGTGAGCTGCGTGTTGAAGTTGTGATCGTGCTGCCTTGAAGCTGTTCTGAGCCATTGTCAAGTGTACTGAATGCCCCATTGGCTCTAGTCCTTAATCGCTGGTGTGTCAGCGACTGCACCAGGTCCCCGCACAGTGCCTGAGCTACGAGCCTTCAAGCGTGGATGGCCTGGGCCTTGTCGTCCGATCGGCTCCAATTTCTTCGGTGTTTAGTTTCAGGGTAACCGTGGGTTGAATAGAGATAATAAGCGGTAGGTTGAATGGGGATTTCTTAGGAGGTTAGGTTCAAAACTTCCCTTCTTCCTTTGCCCCATCAAGAGAGTACCAAAATACCTTAAGTGGGGAGCCTAGCACCTAGCAGCAGCCCTAGAGGCTCTTGTCTCCTGCCCTCTTGTTTGGGTGCTTGACCGTTAGCTCTCTGTGTGAAGCTTCCAGTAGACTCGGCATCAACATTAATTTATTTTGTTTTCACTTCTCTTTGATCCCAGCATGCCATATACTCGGTTGCGGGCTCCTGATGCTGCTTGCCTAAGATGTGACACCCTGCCACTCACTTCTTGCAAGAGGCGGCCGTGTCTTCGCTCAAGTGTGCTGCTTGCGTCGCCCGTTGCTGTCAGCCCTGAGCCATCATGTCCTCGTGGTTTGTGGCTATTCGACAGAGTCAGTGGGACGCCCTTTGGATGGATCTTGAGTTTATGGAGCTTGTAGATGTCAAGATCCAAGGGCCCGTCATGACGGCTAGTCCCCAGCAGGCAGTGTTCGCAACTCGAACAGATTGTGTAAGAGTATTCTTTTTGGTCATTGGCCGAGAACCCGAGGCTTTATTTGGGCTAAGTGTCCAGTCCTTTGAATTGAGGGATCAAGATGGTTGACCTTCTTGCAATATTCCTGAGATCTGAGGAGGCTCTTTTCTCCGAGGGCAGACGTCTCAAGCTCAACATCTCCCAAGCTCACGATCGAGCGGTGACCATGGCGGGCCACGTGAGCAAAGAGCTTCCGAAGCACTTCGTCCTCTTGCACATCACAATCAAAACAACCGCAGCTCTGACTGCCTTTCCGGAGTCCAAGTCTGGCCGCATTTTGCTTGGAGCTCTGCATTTCGGAGTGGATGATCGCAATGGCCCTGCCAACCTTCGTGGTCACTTCGGGTTGCTGTCCCCGAATTGGGATGTGTGCATCAGGACTCATGAGTTGGCGTGTGGTGTCAGCCCCGTGTGCTATGCCTTGAATGGCTCCCTGGGAGAGGTTACGCATTGGAGGTTCATCGTGGTCATGGAGACCCCGCCTGATGTGACCGCTGTGGCCAAGACTCCGACCGTGTCCGAAGTTCCGCACGGGGTGCTTGGCATTGGCATGAATTAGGTTCTTGTGGGTTCAACATAGTTTAAGGCATTCAGTGCCACCATCTTTTCAGGACCCTGCAACCTGGATGGCGCAGTATGTGCACAAGAACACTTTGGACAACAAAAAGATTCCGGTGACACACAGCTTGGTCCTCTTCACGTCCGCGACGGATGCAGTCCTGGTGCACAACCTTTACAAGAAGGCCATGCTGGTGGCCCATTTGGTGGAGCTTACTGTTCCGGCAAATGTGCTCCAGACAACGAGGACTTCTAGTTTTCAAACACTTGATTAGCCAGTCTAAAGCAAGAGCCTCCGTCCCCAGCAACAGTAGAGGAGTTCTCTGTGCGTTGGGTATCCGGCTCCGATGCTCTGTCCACTTATTGGCTCCTGACGACAAAGTCTCCGACTGACAATTTGGTTGCGAATGTGAGCAAAGCCTACACCTGGTTGTGTGGCCAGTCGAAGGCCTTCATGCTCTCCCGTGGCAACCTGGAGGTGACTGCAGACGGCAGCTCGAGGGCCTTCAATGAGATTCTGCAGTCATTGCAGAGCACCAGGTGCAGCTAGGGCGGGGGTTCCACAGTCCAGGGGTTGAACAATGCAAGCCATCTTGTTTAGTCGAAGTATGCACGTGCAGAAGTAGCAGCCAGTTCGCCGCAAGGCGCAGTAAGCGTGCCAAGTCCTTGCGAAGCCAGCTCTGTGACATCAAGGCTGAGCTGGACGGCCTGAGCTATCCCGATCCTGAAACGGCCTCAGGGTCGAGCGATTCGACCGCCTGACTGTCGTCATAGTTTTCTCCGCGTGCATCGATTTGTTTCAGCATGTGGCTGGCATGTGCAGCAGATTTTGGAAGACAGCCCTGCGGCTTCATCGGTGCAACTTTTCATGTTTCGGTCAAGAGACAGAGTCGACTGAGCTCAGAGCGACAAAAGAAGTCGGATTCACTCTGTTGATGTTTCCACATGTGTGTTTGTGTGGGCGGGCGATCCGGTGGATGTGGGTCCATCTCCGTGTCTGAGACATTATTGCTAAATAAATGGAAGCAAGGTCCTGAGACGGCGGCTGGCCCCTGGCACTTCTGCGCTTCGTGGCATGGGCGCCAAGTCAGCTTTTCGGAGTCCTAGCCCTGAGTTAGCATTGCAGCCGCTTCCAATGTGCAAATTGGCGGTATGTGTAGAGAGTGTTCCATGGTTGTTGGAGGCAGGCCTGCTTTCTCTTCCGTCTATTCTTGCGGTCGCGGTCGCATGCTTGAGCCCCGAATCCCTAGACTCGTTTGTGTATTCGTTTGGCTGGGCTGGAAAGAACGTCCTTCAAATTAGGAGTTTAGCATGAATGTTGTGATGAGCATAGTTAACAGTGCATTCAGTGTCCGTGCACACTGCGTGCAGGATGTGTAACGATGCGGCCTGCCGGCTCCTCAGCCAGATGGGCCAGCTCGGCTTTACAATCCACGGTTGCCACCTGTAAACCGGAACATTCAAAGGGTCGGGTTTGGTCGAATGCCTTGGCCTGGTGTTAGATCTGATTGCCTCAGCCGTGTGTGGTGCATTCACACATGTTCCTTCTGACAATCTGTCTCTGACATGATGTTTTCGCAGTTTTGTTGCCTGCAGCTTGGATTAGGCTGATGCACAGACTGAGTTCCCAACATTTGTTTGGCATGTTATGCATGTCACAGGCATGACAGTCTCGGCAATTTGTTGATTTACTGCATTCGTCTACGATTTTAATTGCCAGCCTTCTTGGTGGTACTGATAAAGGGCGATCGTGCTGGCACCAAGCACTTGTGATGGCTCCCAAGGGCAATCGTGCGAAGTCCAAGCGCACTTTGAAGCGGCCTGCTGCCGCGAAGACTCGGGCTCGTCCAGAGCCTGTTCTCCCGAATATCACGGAGGAGAATTTTTGCTTGAAGACCTTCATCTCAGATCTCTGGCGGGCCCTTAATATCCGAAAGACGGATGAGACATCATGGTCCGTTCTCGAGGTTGCTACGTCCGGCAGTGGCGTGTGGACAACGATCCATTGCTTGTGGATGATGTTGGGCAAGGCTTGGGTTCGGGAGCTCTATGCCCTCGAACAGGATGCAGTTGCAGCCCAGTTCTTGATGACAAACTTCGCTCCGCTTCATGTCTTCCAGGACTTTGTTGCACAAACCGCATGGCACAGTCCCGGGTTAAACTTCTGTAAGATTCTAAGATAAGAAGATTTCGCAGGAGGGTGTCCAGAATGACCGCAGCATGTGGTGTTGGACGCATGGCTGCAAGTGTGCGGTGCCGGAGGGAGAGATGCTGTTCGTTGGGACGCACAATGACCGCAGCCTCCAGTCGGCGGTCATTCACGTCGCGGAGCGCAAGCCCAGAATCGCCCTCTTGACGACCGGACTGAAGCCTGTGTCTCAATTTCCGAACAGTTTCCGAGAAATTAATTAGCCGATTAGCCACAGTGCTTCTCCAGCCCAGGTGCGTCAGTGGCCGCGGCAATCAGGATCCTGAGCTCAACAAGGTCATGGAGCGCCTGACTGCTTCGAGTGGCCCACTTGCTGCCACCAAGTGGGTGGTGGGCGATGCCTCTCCATTGCCCTGTGCGAGACAGAGGATTCTCTTCTACATCGCAGAGGCGAATATGGCTGAGAGGTTGGAGGATATGCAGAAGCGACTTCATGAGCGAGTCCAGGCCATGCCCAAGCATTGTGTGTCAAGCATGCTTCAGCCGCTGAATGTGACCTCCATTCCTGAGGAACTGTCTGTGACAGAGAAGGCCAATTTTGAATCACAGTATCACAAGGCCTTCTCGAAACAGCTTGCCAAAGCAGTTCAGTGTGCCAAGCTCCCCAAGGATGTCCGGCTTCCGAAGACGCGGCCTTCGAGCAAGTTCTCCCATGCTTTGACCGCATGGGAATGTGCACAGGTCGATGTCCTCAGCCTTATGTTGGAGCACCAAATTGCCAGCGAAGGCTCCAGTGGCAACGGCAGGCCCAAGCTGGCAGATTATTCTCAGAGCCCCAACCGAGGCACGTTCTTCACCCAAGGTACTTGTGCCAACGTTTCAACGACCTCTAAGTGGTTCGAGTATGACTCGCAGACTCTCGTTTCGCCCGTCAGCTTCTTTAAGATACATGGCCATCAGATGAAGAAGCTCAAGGGATGTGAGGTGGGACATACCTTCTCGGAAGGAGATATCCGCCGCCTTGCTGGGAACGGGGTGGCCTGCACCATGATGGTGTGTGCATTGACGCCTGTGCTGCTAGAGCTGGGCTATCTCGAACATGTTCCGCCGAGCTCCTAGGTCCTAGATGCTTTGTGGTCAGCAGTCGGAGCTTCATAGCCGAGGTTCAATATTATCTCCAGAGGCTTTGCTTTGCTCATGTCTTCTTCATCGCACGCAGCACGAGTGTTGCCCTTGGGGCCCAACCCACATATTTGCTCGCAGATGACTTTGGTTGCCAAGCTTTCGGTTTTGATTAGTTGCCTCGTGGAGCAATGTCCTCCACCGCCCCTCTTGAAGCATATTGGTCCACTTTCACAGGCTTGATGCGTCATGCTCAGGCGTGTGTCGACATCACCACGTTCTTCATTGCAGTGGATCCGGTGTTTAATGCCGTGCTTCATTATCAAAAAGAAATGCAGGCCCAAGGAATCCTCTTTCAGGGACCTAATTATCATATGCTGGCGCAGACCTGTGCTTCGAACGGGGTCCACCCCATGTGTCGGGTGATGTACACAGGCCCAAAGGGGAAGATCGCGTTCAACCCAAAACGTCCATCACCGTCCTTGCCAAGCAAGAATTCTGCCGTGGTGGGACAGATCACGAACCTGTCCCAGCT